ATGCTGCCAGGCGCTTTGCTTACAAGGAGGCCAACAAGAGCGCCATCGGCAACCACCACAGGTGCCTTCGTCGGGGCGGTGGGCCTCTAGGGTGGATTTTCAGTAGTGCTTGGATGACTGATCATATGAGCGGCACCCACCACACTTGCCGGTCGACCTCCTCTGATTGCCCTGCACTGCTCGCAGCTGCAGTTTTTGAGGCCGCACACACTGCCCTCCTGCTGCCGGCCACAGTGCCCTCCGCCCCTGCTGCATTCCCTCAGCTCCCCACAGCCCTGAGGCGCACTTGACCTGGCCGGCCGGCCTGCTCGCGCCCTAACACCGCCGCGGCGCCCTGCCACCCGCCCGCATCCGCAGGAAGGACCGGGCCTTCAGAAAGCAGGGCCTCTTGTGAGGTGGAGATCGTTTCCCGGGTGGCGCCCTGGTTGCCGTTGCAATTTGCCCTTATCGCCACTGCCACGCGCAGCTGCAGCCTGGGGTCATGCATCACCTGTAACCGACACGCAGGGACGCTTTCGTGGATGAGCGCAGCTGCTGCAGCAGCAGCACGCGCTGCTTCCCCGCGCATGCCGTAAAGGGCGCGTCCATGTTGCATCGTGGCGCGACTGCGTGTGCTAGCACGGCCAGAGACAGCTGCCCAGCCAGAGGCAGCCGCCCAGCACGCCTTCCTGTGTCGTGCTATATTCTCGGTCCGTCTGTCTGCTGCAACCGCGCTGGCCAGCAGTGAGGGATCAGCAGGGAATTGCTACAGAAATGATCTTTTACACGATGTACCATCAAGCTGCCCAAGAAACGGGCGTCTGGAACGCTGTGCATTACAGCCCCCATCAGCGCTCACGCCCCGCCCGGCCGTCGCCGCTGCCGACGCCTGCTGCGGCCGCCTCCGCTGCCTCGAGCGCCTCGCGCCAGCGCGCCCCCTCCACGGGATCCAGCGCCGCTAGCGAGTGCGCCAGCAGCCGCCGCTGCCACACGCTCGCCGGCCGCGACGCCCCGCCGCCGCCCGGCCGCGGCCGCCCAGCGGCCGCGGCCGCCGCGAGCGCCACGAAGCGGCGGGTCCACCAGGCAGGAGGCGCCCAGTCCCACGCGGCGAGCGCGCTGGACAGCTCCGCGAGCGACTGCGGGCCCAGCCCTGGCAGCAGCGCCGACACGCGGCCGGCCAGCCGCTCGACCCACTCGCGCGGCGGCTGCGCGCCCATGCGGGCGAGGCCGTACATGAGGGTGGCGATCTGGGGCCCTGTGAAGCCGCCGAGAAGCTGCTCGCTTCGGCAGCACAGCGAGGAGAGCAGCGAGTCCGGCAGCTCGGGCGCGGCCGGCGCAGCAGCCGGGTTTGCGGCGGCGTCGGGCGGGGGCGCGGCAGCGGCGCGCGGCGGGTCGGGCGCGAGCGTTGACCC